TTGATGATTGGACGTGCAAGGGAGAGTCATTCAGTGGAAAATTTCTAATCAAATTTTCCCACATAGATTACATCATACCTGAGACCTTAAAAATCCATCCACAAAGGGATAATCTTGGAGAAAGGATTTGTGCAAATAAACAAGTGGACAATGAGAAGAAGGACAATGCTAAACAAATGCTCGTAAAGTGAGTGCAATTGAACACGTGGTTACACCTTTTATCCAATCGATACAGTCATAAACTCACGGGTAATTGCCTTTGTTCAGCACAGAATTATTCAATTGGAATGATGATTTTCATAACGGAGTGTGAGAGTATTTACTCGTAATAATTTATTGCACAATCTTTCTCACTTTACTCCTAAAACTATTTGTCCGTAAATAATCTATCGAAATAATCATTTGAAAATAAAATTTATCCATTTATCTCTCACTGCAATTATTAAAATAATAACAATATTAATATCACAATAACAAATAGGAAATAACTGGATAAAATCAATTTTAATTATGAATTGTTTTCTAATAAGAAAATAAATATCAGAAAAATATTGGGTGAATATTTATTTTTGCAGTTAATCGTATTTCATTTTTGGATGAAATAAAATTTTTTTTTGCGGTTTCCTCACTGTTATAATTTGAATTGGGCAGGAGAAATAATTGAGAGACAGTTTGGAGTCTATCTTACAAGCGACTGGTGATGGAACTCATCATGAATCGAGCGTAGAATAAAAGAGAAAGACCCACTGGACTAGTGAGTATTAGAAGAATGGATGCTGAAGTGAAAAGAAGGCTGGGAAAGGGTAGACTACTGAACAGGAATATCGAGGGAACAATTTTTGCACTTAACTCCATCCAATAATTCAAGCTATTATTTTCATTCTTTTCTAATTTTTATAACTCCCCTCAGAGTGATCACTGAACTTAAATGTGGGATGACTATCTTGTTATGGGAGAACTTTTTACGTTTACTACGACGTAAGAGAATGTCATGAGGCACCTGTTTCTTTCTGGAGAGCATTGAGCTCACGATGCCCCACTGCCACAGTAATCAAGTGTCTAGGTCCCATTTTATTTAGGTTAATTAACGATCTAAACATTCTGAAAATCCCTTTTTACACTTTTCATCCTGATTAACTAGACGATTTAAAACGTTAATTAATCATGACTAATTATTAATGAATCTCTCTCAATTTCCTTCTGCAATTGAATTCCCATATTAGAGTTGGATAATAAAAATATTAGGAGTGAATAAATAACTTGAGACATGTGTTCCTAAAATGTTCAATTCCCTGAGAAAAAAAGGCTCGCGAATGAGTGCAACCGTGAATAGTGCAAATTGTCTAACAGAACAGCATTGTGAACATGAAAATAATTTAAATGTGAGAGTCTGTCTGTCATTCCAGCATTCCCAGGTCAATTTCGCTGTCAGATTAAATTAGAAGTCCAATTGAATTATTCTGAATTTGAATTAATAAAGGCTCTGAAATTGTCGGACTATTCTAGAGGAGAAATTCCTAGACTTTAATTAATGTTTTTCATTGAAAATCTGTACTGTCATGGGGTAATCTATTGTCAGGAAAAAAATCGTCTGAGTGACTAGAATTTCATCGCTATCAGCTGGTGGGCGGTTTTCGTTTAATTTCTGTTCTTTTTTCTTTCGGATACACTCGGGTTTGTTTACCTACATCACTCCAGGTACCCGTAATTGATAAAAATACTCATTTTCTTATCTCGAGGGGAGATTTCCGGTTATTATCTAGCCAAAAATAATTTCTGTGACAATTCACGTCACCAATTGGACTTTTAGAGAAATATCTTGGAATTCATGGGAGATAGAGTTTTTCTGTGAGGACCTTTTTTGTCATACTCATTCCTCCCAACAAAAAAGGTCCTGACAAAAATTTTGCTATCTCTCTTAGATTCAGAGATATTCGGAAATTCGACTGGAATAAACCCTTTTCTCTTTTCGCTAATTAATTTTCGTGGTAATTACGAATTATGGAGGAAATGAAGGATTTCAGGAGAAAACTGTAAAGGACTTTTTTGTAGCTGATTAGATTCCCGATAAAAAAGGTCCTTGTAGATTTTCTCCTGCAGTCAATGGTTTCGAGATTGATTGACGTTTGAGTATAAGAAGTGATTCTCGTGAACTAAATTTCGTTCTCTTACTCCTATTGTTTATTTTCACGGCTAAACTTCGCGTCATGCATTAGTACCGGCTAATTCCCCAATTAATCTAATTAAGATCGTTAAGTACGTGTGAATGTGGACGTAAGAAGCGCTCATGATTGAATGAAAGTCGACACCTGACGAATCGAAATCTCAACTCAATCCTCTACTTTTCCTCATGACTTCATGACTTGTAATAGTACGTGACTAATAACTTGCAGCTCTGACATTGGTCCATCCCACCCAATAAATACTGTAATAAGAATTTTCAATGAATTTTCCCCGAAGAAAATCCGTGGCAATAAGAATTTTCAATTTAATTTAATAGCATACCGCGTAATTGAACTAATACGTGATATTTCTGGCAATATTTTTCAATCTAGGAGATATATCAAAATTTTTGAAGAAACCTTTTTTCTAGCTCGCATTTCCCTCTACAAAAAAGGTCCTATGAAAAATTTGGATATCTCACTTAGATTCCGAGAAATGGCTAAAAATCCGTCGAGTCAAGTCTTGACTCCTGGAGTATTCCATGAAAATGAATAAAAAATCATAAATAATTATTGAATAAATATAAAACGAGCAGCAGATACTCATGAAAATGATGTTGACCAATTATTAAATATTCAACAAATGAGAGCAAGAATAAAAAATGATTAATGATTAAAATTTCGAAAAGAACAATTGAACTGTCACTGACCAATGGCACACTGATGCCAATTATTCAATTAAATAAAATTTACGAAGATAATAAAGATTACTGAGAATTGTTTAGACGATAAGATACGACTCGCTTTCATGTGTACCTTCTCGCGATAAAAACCACGCCTCGACATTGAATAAATACATAAAGTACGATTCACAGAACGAGTGCCTGAGTGATGACGGCCATGTGAGTTGATGTAAGTTAAGCAGGCGAAATACACAGGTATTAAATGCTCTCCGGAAAAAATAAAACAGAAAATAAAAATGAAGAACGATTTGGCAACACTGCACATACGCTTGCAATGCGAAGACAGGAGAAAAGAAGAAGAGCGGGGGAAAAAGAGAAAAAAAAACCAAGTCGCAAGGTGAAACGAAATGTTACTCCAATTTCATTATTTTTTTTTGGAGTATTTACGAGGGCTTTGTTGACAATAGACCGTGGGGGGGCATGAGTACGATGGAGTACGAAGATGGTGATTAATCACTCAAAAATGCCGACGGTTTTATGGATATAACGAATAATAATTCGAGTTGGAAAGTTTCACGGGAAAGTTTCGAATGTACCAGTCTCCTGAAGGGAGCGGAGTTAAACGCATCAACAGGTATTTTCGTTGTTTTTTTGTTTTGGTGAGTGGATAAATGGACTTACGTGATTGGTGAATTGCGTTCAATTGGGATGAAGAGAATTATCGAGTGGAGGATGATTTATCCGGGTATCTACTATCCAGAGGATTTTCGCACAATTGTAGTTGGAGTCACACCTTTTTAACGAACTGGTCATACTTCAGGCGACACTTATTTGTTGTGGAGGGAATGCCGGTGACACTAATTTTGTCGGTGGGGAAATCACAAGGAGAAACTGTAATCCATTGTTTTAAGGGTTTTTTTCACGGGGTTGGGTTGGGGATGGGGGGGTTTCACTGGTTTGTTTGGTTTTTGGGGTTTGGGGACGTTTTTTTTGGCGCGATAACGGACGCGGAGACACGATGTGAACTACGCGGCGTGCCACTCGGAACTGAAGGCGAGAAACTCTCGCACTCGTATTTATGCTGATTGGTGTGCGCTCTGTTGGTAGGACAGGGTGGGGGCGGTTTGAAAATTTTGAAAATTTATTTTTTTTGCACAGCCAGGGTACGTGGGGTTACAGCGATTTTGGATGTTTTGGTTTTTTTTTTTGTTTATTGTGAGGGGGAAGTGGAGTAATCGATTCTCGAAGGGTGCGAGGGGGGAATAATCGACTTTCGAGAGTAGATGTGGGAAATCAACTTTTGGAGGGAAAATGGGAGAATTGAGGTTTGAGGGAAAGATGGGGTTAAATTCAATGCTCGGGGGGAAAAATGGGGTGAATTCGATTGTTGAGGGGAGAATTGGGTGAAATCGATTGTTGAGGGGTTAAATGCGATAAAATCGATTTTTGAGGGGAAAAATGAGATAAAATCAATTGTCGAGGGGTGAAATGAGGAAAATCGACTCTCGAAATTGATTCAAATGCATTTTTTCTCGTTTACAGACACCGATGGACAATTAATAAAAATCTGTCCTGTAGCAAAATGGCCGTGGGTGATAAAAAAGTACAAATGATATCTTCATTGCCAGATTTAATTACAACGACGAAAAGATGAACAATTTAGCTCCGTCAGACCAGGAATAATCAGTGTACATCATGATTCACACGTTTCCCATTTTTACAGTTTATCCTATCTCCTTGTGATGCATAATTCTTAAGTCCAATTTTAATAAAATATCGATCTGTAATAATTGAAAATGCGTAGCAGTCCTCGAGTCCTCACAATTGGCAATTAATTCCCCAACCAATGAAATTTTCTAAACACATCGCATTACCCTTACACGAACAGTGATTTCCCTCCACCAGGTGATCAATTATCGATTAGTATCCATTCAAAAATCATTCTGCAGTAATCGTCACTCACGCCAATACCAAAGAGATACAAAATAACAAGTCGACTCTGTTCCGCTCGTTTCCCGAGTTATCGGCGTCTACCTCCGCATCCAAGATCTCCACGAAAATATTCCTCAGGACCTTTTCTATAGAGCAAAACGAGATCTCCAAAAAATCTTGTCATAAAAAAATCCGTATCTTCCCCAGATCCCGAGATATTCCGCTTAAATCGACAAGTTATCCCTCTCTTCCTTATTTTGAGATCGATGAATCATGTATCACAATATTAAATCCTGGAGTTCCTTCAGGAGTTCGTTCTCCTTCTTAATTTTATCAAGCTGATTGACCTCGAGTTGTTTACCAGCCGTTAACTGTTCCTTGAGTTTGCAAATCTGTTCCAATTTGCTCTTGATCTTTTTGATCTTCTTATTCTTCTCCGGATCATCAGTGAGATCAGGATTATCCCTGTTCTGTCCCCTGGGCCCTGAGTTTCTCTGTCCATTGACAGGCGCTCCCTCCAGCTCTTTCTTAGTCCTCTTAGCTTCTCGTTTCTTCCTGGCCTTGAGGGCAGCCTTGGATGGCTCTGATTTACCAGGCAAATCCTCATCGTCATGAAGATTGAAGGAGATAGTCTGGCCCCTGGCAGAGGGTGGCCTGTACGCCTGCTTCGAGGCCTGAGGCTGACTGGGAGCTATTCCCTCCACAGCTTTATAACTTATCGTCTTCTCAGGGAAGACATTCTTAGGAAACACCTGCCAGTGCACCTCCCAGAGCTCCTCCTGCTTGTTCCAGGGTCTTTCGTACAGCAAAGTGCCAGTGTAATGCCAGATTTTAAAGCCATTGGCAACTCGAAGTCGAGGAGCTGTCGTTGCTGTCACAAAGTGTTCACCATCTGGTGACCACTGGAGTAATGTACTGTCTGGTGCGTCTGTCTGGGCTATCAGTTTCCTCTTGGCAGTGTCCCACAGCTCAATTCCACCTCGAAGATTACCAAAACCTCCCAACAATACTATATTACCCTGGAGATTGTAATAAATGCTGTTTCGGTGCTTTTTACCGAACTCGAAGATTGGCTCGCACTTTAGATTGAAGAGTGTCGCTTTTGCTGGCATCAGACCGTAGATAACGAGGAACTCTGAGGATTTTGGCGACCACTCCACTGCGTGAATCAGACCCTCGTCATTGAGGGCGACCATTGCTGTCTCTCCAGAGACACTGATATAGTGCAGAGCCTGTTTTCCGTAGTAAGTAGCTCCTGTTTTGTCCATGTCTGTACTCGTGAGGATCAGGGCACAGGTGCCTCTATCGTTCCAGTGAATGTCCACTTTGTCTGCCTGGAAGAAGCTTTTGTTCGCCAGGGACTCGGTTTTATCGAATTTTGGATATTCGAACAGACGAGCGAATGAGGGCTCACTAGATTTTCCTGGTAAATAAAAAATGATGTGGTAGGGAGAGCATTTTGAGCCAATTCTGAATTTTCCGACTTTCGTTGAATTGAATTTATGCTTTATTGTATCGAAGTTTGTGTTTTCGTAGAAGAGTATGTCGTGATTTATCAGGACACCACATAGTTTCTCGTCGCCGGACCATTGGGGCGCCCAATCACTCTGTCTTTTCTGAATGAAACTCTTCACGAGTTCTCCATTCTCTGATCTCCATATATGCAACTGTGGACCACCCTGAGGATTAGATGGCGATACGATGAAAGGTTCCCAAGTCATGAGGTAATTTCCCAAGGTGGAGAACTTGATAGCGCAGACTTTGGGCTTTTGCAGGACTGTGATGATCTGCCAGGAGGTGGTGAGAGCGATTTTGACAGTGGGACCAGATATCCAGGCGAAGTAACGCCCGTCTGGACTGAATGTCATGGCCTTGCAGAATTTACTGTCGTCCTTGGTGAAGGATGACACCTCGGTGTAGGATGGAGGGCCATTGCTCAGAGCAATGCCGGTGGAACCCCGCACTATGGACAAAAAAAATCCTCTCAATACACCAAAAATCTCTGCAAAATTCAATAATAAAAGGACAATTTCGGGAATATCTCGGAATCTACGAGAGATACCCAGTTTC